GCTGCTGTAAGAACTGGGGCTGAATCTTCCCCCACACCCACTTTCTCTTCCATCTTCCTCAGCTTTCTGAAGCCACGCTGCTTCCTCGCCCCCCCTGCAAGGGTTCCTGCCGACCAGGCCCTGAGCAAGGGGAACAAGCAGGTGTTTTCGGAAACCACGGAGCTTCTTGGCACAGTTCTCCCTTATTTATGCTAGCGATGTTCCTTTTCCCATGGAGCCAGCACATCCCGGAGGGCAAAAAGGGAGTGGTGGGCTCTGGTGCAGAGAAGAAACTGTGCTGACAGCAGGTGAGGTTGGTGCAGAAGGGCCTGGGGCAGGAGGCAACAGAGCTGCATTAAATACCCCAGGAAGCCAAAGAAGAGCCCTGAGCAAATACTAAACCCTTTCTCCCCTGATTCAGGTTGCCACGATGCAGTGCAAAGGAGTTGTTGGTTTCTGGCTAGAGGGGTAGCAGGTAGGTGCAGGTGCAAGTGCATCCAGGATCTCCCCCTCCCTGTCCCCTGGTCCAGGACCGACATCGTCACCGCGTCCCCAGCTCAAAGCCAGCGCTGGCATTGGCCTCGATGGCCACTTGCGTGGACCGAAGAGGCTCTAGTGGGGGAAGGGGAGCATGGCGCTTCTGGGCAGCACCGAGACTCGGAGGAGAGGGAATATTCACCTGGGTTTGAAGCGTTGCGAGATGCACAAGCTCTGGCCTTGCTTGTCCTGTAGAAGCGTAGGATCACAGGGCAGTCGTCGTCATCGTCACAGCCTCTGGAAAGCCAGTTGAGGAGAGCGGTGGGATGGTTTGCTTAGCGGTAAAGCGGATTTTCCCCTGGCCAGACCCAATTTCTAAGGCTGGTGGAGAGAAGCTGCCCAGTAGCTGAGGCTGGAGATGGTGTCCAAGGCTTGGTTACTGTGAGAGAGCTTTTAACCGTCCTCGCAAGGAGTTTTCCTGGATGTGATTTAAAATATAGCAGGGACTGGCTGTGAATAACCCGAAAGTTGATAGCACTGTGGGTTTACCAGGGTTACCTTCCCAAGCCGTTGGTGATAGATAGGCCCCTGTAAACA